AGGAACTGATAAGAGACCTGGTGAAATATTGGGAAAGACATTTTTCCATGTTACTGTTACCTGAGGGAAACTCCAGGCATAACTCACACAGTTTAAGGAATGGCACAGTCTAAAGTATCTGGAGATAGTGGAGTATTTTATTGCAGTGGTATCTGCAAAGGTGCATCACACAGGGAGACCTAGAGACAAACATAAATGATTACTAGGAGATGTTTCTCATGGTGTTTGAATATATTCTAATGTTCCACCAGCTACCTAGAAATATATTGTTTGTTTAGGTTATTTTTAACAGTCTATTTTAAGGTTATTTCAAAATGGATAAGCAAGTAAAAGTGTGCTCAGCTGGACTTTAGGAAAGAAACTGCAAAGAGTGGCCAGGGTTCACCTGTGAAATACAGTGCTGACACCCATACATGGGAGTTTCTTGTCATATTCTGCCATTTATAATTATTTTGGTTTTGCTTTTTCTTTTATGACAGTTTAACTTTGTCCCTATTTAACAGAAATATTTTTGGATTAATTGAAATTCAGGTAACCACTGTTGTGATCGTCAAGCATTATTATCTTGACCCAGGCTTCCCAGAGATGGGATATGCCTAGAGGAGCAATATATATAGACACTGTATGCAAGCATGAGGTGGACAGGACATCCTGCAATGCTTCTCCTTTGCCCTGGTGGAACATAGGATCTCACATGGCTGAAAACCCCTTGCAAATGGGGGTTCCACAAGAATCTCTAGGGTAGGTGCCCCTGTAGGCAGCAGACAGGACATCAGGGTGGAGTGGCAAGGCTGAGTCTCCCATTACAGCACAGCACAAACAAGGCAATCTACATCTCTGCTTTATTTCAGATATCTGGACACTAATTACAGTCTGTATGGAACATGACTCCACGCTCATGTAGCAGTCCCTGTGCCAATATCTGTAGCAGTATCTGGCTGTGACACTGCAGATTCCCTTACTCACCCATCACCAGCTCCGTGATTGTGCTTCCTCACATCCCTGTGATTCCCAGCCTGGTCGAGTCTCAATGTTTTGCTAGATTCAGCAACTGTGAGAGTAGAGTCAAATGCTGAATTGACAAGTCTAATTGGTTGGTTGTCTCTGATGTGAGAGAATGCTTAATTAATTTTCTTCATGAAGTCAAAAGAGACAGTTTTAAATGAAAACAAATTGCTTACATCTTAAGCAAAATGCAGAAAGCCCATAAGAGGGAAAATAACATTGGATTAAAATATGATACTTTTGTGTTGAAGAATCAAGCACTATTTTTTATGCTGGCTGAGAAGAATGTCAAAACTTTCCTGGTTCTGAAAAGCAATGTGCAGGATTTTGTGTTTGTGCTCTTCATTATGGTGTAATGAAGTCCTTATAAACACCCAATACCAAGGCCACGTTTACTGGCTTTCAGGGCACAATAACTGTAAAGTCCATAAAAAAGAGAATAAAATTACAGAAGTGTAATAAAGGAAGTGTGAATAAAAAGTGAGAGGTACGTGAATATGGCACCAGTCTTTCACTGGAAATTTCCAGTTCCACTTCACCATACACTGCAATAACAGCACTGGGTGCTACTGCTTATACTGTGCTCTGTACAAAGGAGTGATAACTTTCAATGGCTCACATTCTAGCAGGGTGTCAGCTCTTCTTGAGGCACTATGCAAAATTCTAACCCTCTACAGGTCTCAATAAACCTGAGCAATCAAGAAATATCATTGTTAATGGAACTGATCTCTTCCCATCCAACCTCACTGCCCTTTCCTTTCTTATGTTGTTTGCCTGATATTTGCATCTTGACTAAAATTACTCATTCTCATCCTAGTTTAAGGCATCACTACTGAATTTGACAAGGTAACATGACTGATGTTCAGGCTTCAGGGGCTAGTAAAAGAAACTTTCTGTAAAAAACCTAAGGTAGTAAAATGGCATTATACTTCCTTCTGGCATCTGTGTCCTGAGTCTGTGACTACAAGGGACACCTCTGCTTTCCATGACAGATTATCTGGGCCAAGCATTTTTCCATTTCTTTCTTGGATGTCCCCACTGGGGGCTTCAAATCTTCCTAAGGATACCATTCAGAGGCTGTGTCCCTGTCTTTCCTCCAAAAGAGGAGAGAGGAACTGGCATTGACAAGAAGTGAATGCCCAAATTGCCTGCTGCACTTACCACTGAGCAAAATACATCTACACGCTAAACTGCCCAAGTAGAACACAGTGCCGTTTTTTAAACAGATGGAAGAATTTGAGTTTGGGGTGTTTTGCATCTCTAGCATCACAGCAGATAGTACTGTGAGCAAACTTTGCTTCAAGGTTTTGGGCAGAACGTAGCCAGAAAGCTACAATGAGAACATAAGTTTTATACAGCACATGGTGAAAGAAAACATTGGGAAACGCTAGAACTCTGTACGGACTGATGCTGTTATCCACGTTCTCAGCCAGCTAATCTCCCAGTATCAACACTGGTGTTTATTTAACACTGAAGAAAGGCGTGGAGCTCTTCACAAGACAAATTCTGCATCTCCAGCAGAACTGTTTTCTTCTTTGTGAAAAATAACTTCTTTATGCAGTAAGTCACTGAATTTGTTGCTGCTTTATATCCTTCCAGTCACTTTTCTTCCCTCTCCTTCTTGACCCTCCTGGCCAGGGTGGGAGGCAGCACATATAAAGCCCTTCAGAGCCCAGCTCATCAAGGGGGTTTAAAGAGCTGTGGGTGGTTTTCAACTCCCATGAAAACAAAGGGAAGTTGAGAGTGCTTGAGGCTTGGCAAAGGATCAGGCTGTGACTGATTTACATCTCTGAACTCTCTTTGTGGGGCTGCCTGAGAGACAGAACAATCAGGAATTATCATTTCCTCTTCTGCTCTGCCTAGGTAGGAAAGGCCACACTTTCCCAGTTAGTGAGTTTAGCTGTTTTTTGAGTATCTGGTATAAAGACATAAAGGGTTTGCACAGCTGAATTTCTGCAGTGTGGGACACAGGTGAGCAGCCTTCTGTGTGGCCCTTGTACATGAAACCTCTCCTGCACCATCAGGGAAAATCATGTTTTTAACAGTACTGCTGAAAATAGAAAAGCAAAAGTGTTTATTCTCTTTGTCAGTCCACATACCACCTTATTGCTTCCATGAATTAGAGGAAATAATCCAAGAGTAAAGCACTTACAGGTGGATGTGATAAAGCCAAGGACAAGACCCTCCTGACTTCTTTAGAGCCAAGCGTCCCTCCTGCATCTAAACCTAGTCTTTAAAAAGCTGCTCTCTGGTTTATGTTGCAGATTCTTGTGATGGATCCTGAACACAAAAAATTTAAAATTTTAAAGCACTTCTATGATCACACCATATAAGGAGGGAAACCAAAAGCTATTAAACTGTTTTATGGTTTTTATGGGTTTTTTTATTGTTTATGGTTCTATAGCTTTTAAAATGTTTGTTATTTCAATGGTAACAAATAAAAAACAAAACTGTGTCAGTTTCACAAACTAAAGTTAAACCCTTAAGCCAACAGCAGGTACCAAAACAGGATCTCAGTGATGCAGAGAAGGTACAACAGTTTGGGAACTGTTTGTGACCTGGGATCTCTACTGACTTGACAAGCTTATGGTCTTGGTTAGAAGTGTAGCTTCTGTATCTTTCAGAAGAACCTGAGGTCTCTAACAACTCTCAGGGGGCTAAAGCACAAGAAAGAAATCCTGCTGAATGGTCTAATAGAGGTCTCACCTTGTGTGATTGGCTGTTGGGGTCCTGGTCGCTTCATCATTTCTTGGTCTAATGATTGACTGAAATGTGGGTAAAACACCTGAGGACAGAATCCCAGGCTCCTCTTTTCTCTTCTTCTAGACCCACGTGTGTGACTGATCCTGCAGAGCATGAAGGGTGCCCTCCTCATGTTGTGACCTTTTACCAGATGAAGAAAACTTTCTTCAGGGGTAGAGTCTGCAGCTTCAAATCCCCAGAGGCCAAGTCAAGCTTTGACTTTCAGAGCAGAGGAGTACCATGGTTTTCCTAATAACATCTCTTGATATTGTATATGTATATATAGAATGTATGTAATATGTATATGTAAAATATGTGTAATATGTAATAACATGGATATCAATAGCTGAAGCGTTGCTAGGTGTTCATGTCAGTGTGACCTAAGCAAAGGGTTATAAGCATGGTTTTCATCAGGGCACTTCAATGCTGGAGCATCCTCAGCACCTCAGCTCTGAAGGTTCACTGCTGTCATGAACATAGGTCATGCAGCTTCAGGTTGAGGCCTCAAAAATGCTATTTTATGTATCTTCTTAGGTGGTTTTAGGTATCTCAGGGAATGTACATTGGCGTAGGGAGGATGATCCCCCCCTGGCTGCTCTATGGGCAGTGGACGGCAGCTGGAACTTGCAGTTCGGTCCAACCCACCCATGCCACAGCACATGGCCAGATGCATGGTCTGTGCCTTTCCACTCTCTGTCATGGGGTGCCACAGCTCTCAGCTCCACCAAGTCACATCTGCCCTTTGGAAATTCCTGCAGAGATTATTTTTGGCAATAATCTGAGAATACAGAACTTGCTTCTGGAAAGACAGTTTAGGGGCTATTAAAGATGCTTTGGAGAAAGGTCCAGGGAGGCAAGCTTTGCTCAGAGCTGGCATGCCCAGCTGCCCACCTCTGGCATCAATGACTTAGGCTTCTTCAGAAATGGAGGGTACCATAGCTGAGCTCTGTTCACCACTTCCCACTTCAACTCAGCAACACAGGATTGCAACAGACAGTCCTTCTTATTCATCTCTATTTTCCCATATGATCTCTGCGACCAATCAGAAACAGTTCACCAAACAAAGTTAAGCAATATCACAGAGAACTTTAAGAAATTACTCCTTATCACCCCTCCTGAGGATAAGCTCAATGGTCAAGGCCACAGTTAAATCTTCCTTTTCTTGTAAAAGTTAACTGAAGTTAGTTATTAAAGTGCTGGCAGTATTTAGGGAGGTTCTGAAGTGAAGAAGAGCACAAGATAACCTGCATTGCCTGTGAAAATTTCAGGGATATCTTTATCTAAAAAATCTTGGTGTAGTTTCTTCTGAAGAGCTTCCTGGAAGATATACCAGGTACAACTTTAAATTGTCATTTTAGGTATGGGATAAGTGGAGTAATGCTTATAAATTAAATGTTTCTAGTCATGTGTTTTATTTTTTGTAAAATGTAAAAGTTTCCTTTGTGGAATTTCTTTGTATTTTTCAATTGTTTATATTGCAGAGAAATTCAATTTGTGAGTGGGTATACAAAAGTGGGACAGACCATGTTAATATCTAATTATTCAATTGAAATTACATAATTTTGTGTACTTCTTATATTTAGGATATTTAGGCCAAATCAGTAAAGGGAAAAAATATCCCTTTGTTAATCCTCTCAACAAAATGGCACACATGAAAATATGCATTTCCAAGATTTCACAGAGCTGAGGGATTAGCAGTGGAGTTGGAGATTTTTTATGTATGAGAAATGGCAATGCTGTTAATTGCTGCCCATAAGAACACGATCAGAGGCTATGTGGATTGAAACTGAACCAGAACCTTGTCTGGTTTCATTGAAATGCTTGTTTTCAGAGAACTTCAATGAAATGCAATTTCATTTCAGATCTAGTCTTGGTCAATAATGACTGAAATTTGTAACCACTCAATAGCTGTGCAGTGTAAGCTTGGTCTGTGCTGGACACATTATAGAAGTCATCAGAAGAATTGGTCTTGTCCTCCAAGGAGCCCAAGGCACTCTAGAGAGGCAGTGTGGGATACTGGAGTACAGACTTTTAGGAAATTCGTGAAGGACACTGGCCTTCACCATTCTGGTACTTTTCACAATATCCTCCTTTTCTTTGAAACATCTAAAATAAGTAATGTCTCTGACTCATAAAAAACTCCCTGTACTGAGGGCATCCCGTCTTTTTAGAGATATATGGGAAGAAAATGAGAGTGAGCCAAGAGGAAGGCAATGCTGGCTGCATTTGTAGTATCTGGCAGTTGCTGACAGTCTTAGAAGAGGGAACCATACAGGAGAAGCTTGCCTAGCAGCATGGTCATCTACTTGCAGCAAGGTGCTGCTCCATGTGGTCCTGTTTACCTGCCAGGGAACAGACTGAAGGCATCTTCCACTGCACTGCAGGTGCTTGGGCTGGCTTGGTTAAACCCCACTGAAGCACAGCACTGTGGTGTTTAGTGCAGACTTCAGCTTGGCAAGGATCCTGGTTTCCCCCTGCAGCTCTAAGCCATTGACCCCCAAAATTTGGGGGTCCATTCAGGAGGTAAAAAACACATTGCAAAGGACTTACACCTCCAATAAGACCAGCACTAATAAACCAAAGGATGTTTAGAGAATTGCAAAGAAGCTTTTGTATGCTCCCTGAGGCTGGGGCAGTAAATTTGGCCTGAAGAAAGAAGAATTGCTGGGCAAGGGGCAGGAGGGACAACTGGAATGCTCTCAAAAGCTACAGCAGCTGCAGCACTGAGGAAAATCTGAAATGAAAGAGTTGTCCCTACACTTGTTTTATTTTTATGGCTTATGAACTTTTCAAAGAGTACAAATAGTACATCTTGTGCCCTATAATATAACGGACAAAACTATTCCACAGGACTTTCAGCAATATTGGTCTTTGTGACATGAAGTCTAAAAGGCAGACACACAGACTAGGAAACAGAGCAATTTTAAAACCTTTAATAGATAAAACAAACTTCTTGCAAATCTAAGTAGTCACAATTTATATGGGAATAAACTGAACAAATTTTTTAATTGAAATTTTATCAGCCTCTGTTTTGGAGCTCTGATCCCAACAGAGGGAGGGACATTAGTGTAAAATTACAGATCAGAATATGATTTTAGCTCGCTTTGGATTTGTGTTTTGAATATGCTTAGATTTTTATCATTTGCCTGCTAGAATAATTGCCTTCCAGTTTTTTTTGGAAATATTACAGATCTAATTTTTTATGTTAAAACAGAAAGTAAAAATGTTTAACTCATTGCCAAAATAGTGAATTCTTTGTGCAAGAATGGTATGTCAACAAAATATCTAAGAGATTCATTGACATTGTTTGAACGTCTATGAATTTCCACAGAATCTACAACAAGGAAATTAAAATGGGTCAATAATAGGCTCTGAGCTGTAGCAAAGTTTCAAGATGGGATTCACATTTTAATGCCAAAATTGTCATGGATTAAAAGCTTTTCATTTTTTCATAACTACACAAACAACTTTGTACCACATTAAAATCTGTGCTGTGATATCTCTAAATGTTGAGTAGTTACAGGTCTGAATCTGAGCTGCATTTAGGGTATTTCATCAAGAGTCAGATGATAGACATGGGCAAGGAACTGATGCTGGTCAGGCATCTGTCAAGAGACCACCAGCCAGCACCAAGGCACCATGGAGCATACTCATTAAGGGAGAGAAAATAAATAAAAAAACCTCTATTATCAGTGTCCCAGAAGACTACTTGCTTCCTACAGTACATCTTCATCTCTGAGTCAAAACAAAATAGAACAGGATTGAACAGATTAGTTCCAGTTGGAAGGATCTTACAATGATCATCTAGTCCAATTTTGCTACAAAGAGCAAGTTCCACAGCTTCTGTCTGGGATTAGTACTACATTTAATATTTAATGGTGGCTTCAACTGAGAGAAATATTTTTAGATAGTACAGATTTTAGGTGAATTTAATGTGGGAAGAATGTGTGGCGTAATGCAAAATTTAACAGCACAGTGAGCAGCACAGTGATGGCATCAATTAATTGCTGCAAAATACCCAGTGGTATTGACTGAAGTGAATGATGAGCAGATTCATTTTCATGTGTAATGTGGGCTCCAGGGGTCATTTCTGGAGTGGCCCAGGACAGTCTCTTCAGCACAACATGCAAATGTGGGTTGGGACAAGGCAGAAAATAGCATTCAGGTAAGACATTGCAACAACTGTTCATGAACATGAAGCAGAGGAGAAGCAGTTCAGACAATCTGTGCAAATACATTTTACAAATAACAAGCAGCAATATCATGCTTTTTTCCCTACTGATCTCCTTGTCACACAAATCCAACACAATACATTTAGCCTTGTTTCTGAATCCAAGAGAGGATGGCTGAGCCCTGCCTGCACTCTGCCTTTCCCCTCATCTGTGGGTTACAGTGAGCTCCCAGCCCTCCCAGCAGTGCCACAAAGAGAAACTGCTTGGGATCTGATTGTTTGTCCTTTAGGAAATTAATCTCCTTTGAGGGAGGAAGTTTTTGATTGTACATGGCTGAGTCAGAGATAAATTAACTCAAAAACCATCTTGTGCACTTTTTGGCTGCATCTTTAGAAAGAAATAGTTCATGCTTCAGTGAAACACTGCTCTGCAGTGGGAGGAGGAGCGGGGCGGGAGATCACCTTGGCAAAGTGAAGTGGGTGTCTCAACCATCCCTCTTTTGATCTTCAAAGGTGGTAACGCTCAGTTTGGAGCTCACTCAGCTATGCTATGGCTATCCGCCCCACAGTACATAAAGAGCTAACCCTTTATTAGGGTACTTCATTTCAGGTTTATAAGTGCCTGGGGCAGAGAGGAGCACGCACAAGTAACCATCCTATCCTGACATTTCAGGAGAAATGGTTGAACCTGTGGGTAACCATTATGTTATAGCCAGACCTGTATACTCGGAGAATGCATTCAATGAAGAGCATGAGAAATTGCACAGATACCATAAAACCTTTTGGGATCACCTGAAACTCTATTTTAGGTAAGGAGATTTATTTATTTTTTTTAATAGATCTAAGAAACAGTCCTGACTGCTCTTGGGCAGCATGAACTTCATCTTGACAGTGTCTATCTCCCATTCCAACACAGAAAGTGAAAATTCATTAATTAAATTAAATGTCAGATTTTTCTAATGGATTTTGGCTGTTGCCACCCTTAGAAGTCTTCCTACAGCTATATCTAAGGTAGCTTCTTTTTTTGTGGGCCCTTGGCAGCATAGGCTCTAGGAAGACCTTACTGCACTCTTTCAGTACTTAAAGGGGTCTTACAAGAAAGACATACTCAGGCTTTTTACTGTGGCCTGTTGCAGCAGGACAAGGGATGATGGTTTTAAACTAAAATAGGGTAAATTTGGACTGGCTATCAGGAAGAACTTTTTTATGATGGAGGTGGGAAGGTACTGGCACAGGTTGCCCAGAGAGGTGGGGGATGCCCTGTCCGTGGAAATGTTCAAGGCCAAATTGAGCGGAGCTCTGAGAAACCTGACCCAGTGGGTGGCATGCCCGCTAACTGGGGCCAGGGTTTGGGTTAGATGGCCACAGATTTTCCTTTCCAGTGAGATTTTTCTTTCTATGAGAATTTGGGTTGTAAAGGACCTCTGAACACCACTGTATATACCTTGAAGCATGTGGCGTGTGGCACTGCATGATGGCAGTGCAGGTTGATCAGGGCTGTGTCTGGGTGAGATTTTGACTTCTGGCAGCCAGCACCTGAATCCTTCCACTTTCCTCACCTCTCTGAAACAGGCTGCGATTCAGCTGAGCTGTTCACTGACAAAATTTTGTCCTCTTGTGTCTTTGCAGCTGCTCTCCACAAAGGGTCAAAAAAATTGCTTTGGGTTTGTTTCCAGTCATTTCCTGGCTGCCAGCGTACCGCTTCAGGGAGTGGATCCTGAGTGACATCGTCTCTGGCATCAACACGGGGCTCGTGGCTGTGCTGCAAGGTACCTTTGGGAAATGTGTGTCCTGACACAGCCTGCTAAGCCAGGTGCCAAGGCACTGCTGGCTTCTGCCTGCAGCACACACGTCACCTTCCCCCGGCCTCTGTCTTTACAGGTCTGGCTTTTGCTTTGCTGGTGAATGTTCCCCCCAGTTATGGACTCTATGCAGCATTCTTCCCTGTCCTGGTCTATTTTATCTTTGGCACATCAAGACATATCTCAGTGGGTAAGTTCAGGCACACCACTTACCTTCCCCACTGATGAAGAAGTACATGCTGCCTCTTCAGATCTTTTAACAAGCCTTGTGCTGCTCAGGTCCCTTCCCTGTCCTGAGCCTCATGGTGGGAGGAGTCGTCACCAGGCTGGTTCCTGATGACAGCACTGGAAATGGCAATTCCACAAATACCTCAGCAATAAATGATGAGAGGGTGATGGTGGCTGCATCTGTAACCTTCCTTTCTGGGATTGTTCAGGTTGGTAAAAGTACATGTGTGTGCACCTATGTGAACAGATGGAGGGTGGCCTGACCTCTCTCTCTGGTATCTGCTGTTGTAGTCACCAAAGTAATCCTCTTCCATTTTCCATGTAACCGACCCTGGCACACTAACTAGGAGACATCTGTCCCCTCCAGTGACCAGGCACTCACATGTGCTGTGAAATCCTTGGTTTTGCACAGGCCTGAGCCCACAGCCCACACATCTGCAGCCTACACCTACAGCAAAAAAGAAAATAGCTGTGAAAGTAATGTGAATGATGCAGATGCACCCAGGGGAGTAAACGCTTTGCCTTGCAATAGTAAAATATTTGGAACTGTTTTTTTTAAAAAAACATTAATCCTTACTCTCTAATACAAGAAATCCTACAGTTCCTCCCTTGCTAACATACTAATATATTTGTTGCTTTGTGAGACACTTAATCCATGTGAAAATATAGGAATTAAAAACCCTGGAAATTAGGATGTATATTTTAGCTATAAAATAAAAAGAACGGGTTTTAACTGCTGTAGCATTTACTCTGACTAGTATTATGCCTCTGTTGCTAAATGTCAAGTTTTGTTGCAAGTCTGGTGACAATACATTCTTTAATCTCTGGATGGATAGGACTAGGTGAAAATCTTTGCTTTCATTAAATACGGCTGTCTTTCTTTGAAAGATTACTTAAAAACATAAATGAATCCCACTGACCTATGCTTATTTTGTGTTTCAGTTGCTTCTGGGAATTTTACAGTTTGGATTCATCGTTATTTATCTATCACAGTCATTAATCAGCGGTTTCACGACTGCTGCAGCTATCCATGTTTTGGTATCTCAACTGAAATTCATGCTTCAGCTACCTGTCCCTGGATTTAATAAACCATTTGGCATTATCTATGTAAGTGCTAGGTGTTCATTATTTGCTAATGTTATTGATGTACCTGTGATGTATTTCTGACTATATATCACAAAGCAGTAATAACAACTCAGTATAAAAACTCAAAGCAGGAGGTAAAATGAGAGAAAAATGAGTGATACTAGTGAGTTATGAATTATTAGTATTTGACCAATCTTTAAATTTATTACCAAGCACCAATTTACACCCCACTGGGATAATTAGATAATATTTACTATTTTGTGTTGGTGTATTTCAATTAAGCATTCAACTCTGCCTTAAGGATGTAATTATTCATTTTTACTGGACTGATATTATATATATTCAATTTGCATATTACTCTCTGAGGACTGTTGAATGAGAAAGGAGGGAGAAGAAAGACAGGAAGGAAGGAGTGGAGAAAGGCACCTGCCCAGCAACGCCATTGCTCACATTTCCTATCATGGACATGCCTGTTGTTCCAACCCTCCCTCAGGGGCAAGTCTGGATAATATAGTGGGAAGGGTCTTCTGCAGATACTTCCATCATTTGGCAGATGCACATACATTCATGGGGGCTTGCAGCCCACATCATGGCTCAGGGAATAAATCCCAAACAGCACAATCCTCAGGTTCTTCTGGAAGGGATAGTGCTACTATAGTGCCAGGGCACAATTGTTTCTAAAGCACCACATGTTTCTTCCTAATTCTGCAGACTCTGGAGAGCATTTTCAGCCAGATCACAAAAACAAACATTGCTGACCTTGTCACATCACTGGTTGTCTTGCTTATCGTGTTCGTGGTAAAAGAAATGAACGATCGATACAAGGAAAAGTTACCAACACCCATCCCGATCGAACTCCTCGTGGTGAGTCATTTCCTTTGATTTTGCAATTGCTCCATGTTACAACATGGGAAGCAGAGTTTTAACTATTTCTTCTCCTGCTATGCATTAAATGATGCATTATCATTTTACCTATAAAGAAAAATCACAGCATTAGGGAGCTATTGTGAGATGTTTTACTACCACAAAACTGTTCTTAACTGAAACGTATCTGTGGTGTTATAAACAATGAATTTTTTCCCTTGGACAGAATTGGCTCTGACAGCAGCCAACTGCAGTCTCACAGCTGAGGCCCCTCTGCACTACACCTGCAAGCAGCCACAGAAGTCCTGGACATCTATGGCCACACACAATATTATTTTGCTGCAGAAGGTTTTGCCCACTCTGAGCAGCAGAAGGGTGGAGGAAGCCCCAAAGGGGCAGCAATCCCTTAAAATCCTGGAGGATGTTGTATCCCCACAAGCAGCACTTGTTTTCCCCAGAGTCATTACAGCGCCTTGTTAGAACATACCTGGTTTACTGGGTGGGATGATCTCTGTCGTTAGTAAGATATTTTGTTACAATCTGTGTGATTTATGAATGTAAACCCATACCTGTAAGGTCATTCAGGAATGACGCCTGAACTGCAAAGGGATGTGAAAACTTGGGGCATAATTCTAGTCATCACTAATGATGAGGCTGGACAGTGTGTGAGGGAAGGAAGCTAATGGTGTTTAATAAATTCTTCACACTTTTGCTTTAATGTGCCTAATGGACATGTGGTTTATTATCTTTCAGACAGTCTTAGCAGCACTGATTTCCCATTTTGTCAACTTTGAAGAAAAATTTGAAGTAGCCATTGTTGGAAAACTAGAGGAAGGGTAAGTGACTTACAATTCACCAGTGGAGCAGAACGTTCTCTTTAGTTTGGGAGTGTTAAATGAGTTCAGCTATGTTTCTGATTAAAATTATCTGCTTCATCTTCTTTCAGTAGGTAAATAAACATTTTTCTCTCAATGATATGACACACTTTTAGTACACAAAAGTTACACACTAGAGCACATCTACTCATCAAGGAGTACCCTGAGACATGAAGTAACTGTGTCCTTCACTTTCTGAGACAGCTGGTGAGCAGGAGGTTAATGTTTGTCCTTTTTATTTAACTACTCACTCCTGCACTCCTCCATTTCCCTCACAGTACATGCACAGTTCAGCAGCCACCACCAGCCCTGGGAAGCCACCAGGACCCTGCACAATTCTCCTGCCATGTCCCATGACCAGTCCTCAGCACCATTATCCTCCAGAGGCCTCAACATCTGCCTGTCCAGGACTATATCCACATAAAGATTATTTCTTCACATACAGAATATATAGCTATATGTAGACTTAATTTGGCAATGCTAGAATTTTGGCATGAAGAATCAGGAGGCACATGTTAAGTTAAAAAGAGGAAGGAAGAATTTACTAGGACAGCAGAGTGAGTCTCTGTATGGATGGTCTCTGTAGCCCTGGGGGTATTCATAGGTGAAGTTTGCAGAGGAGCAGCTATTTCTGCTCAAGAATCTCCTTTCTTTAGATTTCAGTTCACTGGAAAAAAAAAAAAAGAAGGGGAAAAAAAAATGTCCAGAGAGGAATTCTCCCTAGGATCTGCAAAAGACCCTTAAGCATCTCCTTAATGAGTAGAGTTTTTTGTCTTTCAGATTTCAAGTGCCTGTTGCACCTGATGTAGGCATCCTCCAGAACTGCATTGGTGACGGCATTTCCATCGCAATCGTTGGGTTTGCAGTAGCTTTCTCCGTGGCTAAAGTGTATTCCATCAAGCATGACTACCCAATAGATGGCAACCAGGTAGGCAAATAACATAGAAATCAATATACTGCATTTATCAATGGGAAATAAGTAATTTTAGGAAAGCTTTGCCTTGTGAATAATTGTCACAGACCAGCTCTTAAGAACAATCTCTTTTATTTTTATTTCAGGAACTAATTGCTTTTGGGCTGGGTAATATAGTTGGTGGATCATTCAAGGGATTTGCCTCCAGCACTGCTCTGTCAAGATCAGGTGTGCAGGAGAGCACAGGAGGCAAAACACAGGTATAGAAGACAACAGGTCACGATGGCATTTAATGAAAGACAGCTCTTTTTTTCCAAGCTAACCATAATGCCTGTGGGCACTTACTCATTGTGGAATTGTTCTTTCATGCAGATTGCTGGCATTATCTCATCTGTCATTGTTTTGGTTGTGATCTTGGCCATTGGATTTCTCCTGGCACCATTACAGAAGGTATTCACTGGTTTCGTCTAATGCTTCCTTCTGCTTCCCAAAGACAGGGCTGCTCTGAGCACACTGTGAGTGTTCATAGACTTCAGTGGGAGCCAGATAGGGTTTGAAAAGCTAGGTTCTTCTTCCCACATTATGCCAGAGAGGACCACTGTATCTGGTCTTCCAAAGGGAACACTAGCACCCAAACACCAAAAACCACAGCACCAACTTTCAGATGCCCAGGATAAGTGGGATTTACAGCCTCAAGTCAGACACCTGCACTGCACCATAGCTGAGGATGTTCCTGCAGCAGTGATACACTGCAAGCAGCTCCCAAAGCTGCACTTTGGCCCTATTTGTATGATCTTTTAATTCCTAATGTTCTACGTTTTCTTTGCTTGCTTAAACACAGAACATGTATTTTGGTCTTTTTAACAGTCAGTCCTTGCATCATTGGCTCTTGGCAATTTGAAAGGAATGCTCATGCAGTTCAAGGAAGTAGCCATCCTCTGGAGAAAGGACAAGTATGACTGTGTAAGTTCAGTTTCACAAGCATCAGAAGTGCTTTGAAAAAATAATCTGTCATACAAATTTTCTTTTTTTATCCCTGTGTTACTTCACTAAACAGAAATGATTGCTTGCCTTTTTTACTGGTATACCCCTTGCTTATGTTTTCATTTTGTCCCTTTTATTTTGAGTTGATTCTCACTCTTAACATAACTTTCATCCATTTCATCAAAATCTATTAAAACAGTGCATTATATAAAGTCAAATAGAGAGGATAGTTACAGAAAATGTCGAAATAACAGAAAATATCTACTGCCTTGACTAAGCATTCAGGGACACTTTCTCACAATCACACAATGTGTTATATGGAAGATACACAGCAAGAAACAAATGAAAACTGGGACCTGAAGGGTTTGCTCCAAATGGTAAAGCTTGTGGCTGGACAGTAGGACTTGTTACCTCTCAGAAAATTTAGGTTCACAAATTGTTCCAGGCCTCAGTTACCCAGCCATCAAACAATTATTTGTCCCATTAAAATGCTTTGAGCTCTGTGGCTAAAAGTTATTCAGTATTATCTAGTCCTTTATCAGTTGTGTACACTCACAGCACCTATATTTGCACATTTACAACTCTCAGCTTTACCAGATTTCTGATTTACTTCTCATCTTGCCTTTCTGCTGGATTTTCATAGAGCATGTAGTGGACCACTTATCCCATTTTAAGTCTTTATTGTCTAGAAATTGTTGTCCCTAGAAACACTCCCTGGTGCTGGTTGGTGATTCTGGCCCTGTTTAACAAGAAAAAAACCTCACCAAAAGCAGATGGACATCCTGGACCAGATCTGAGATCTATTCCTGCTCCCACCCTGAGCTCATGACCCAGGTTCTTGACATGCTTATAATGTTGCCATCCTCTGTCTCATTACAGGTTATATGGGTGGTGACTTTCATAGCTGCTGTCCTTCTAGGTCTGGACATTGGACTAGCAACAGCTGTGGCGTTCCAGCTGCTGACAGTGGTGATCCGCTCCCAGATGTGAGTACTTGTTGAATGCAATGATATCCCAGGGCCTCCTGTTACAAGTTACCTCCCTTTGTACGGAGAAGGGCAGCAGCCCTGTCTGTGCCTTGGTCAGTCCAGCAGCCATGCATGAGAAAATAATTTACAGGTGTAAGCCTTTGGATGTGGGGCTTGCTTCAGTGTGCCACCCCAGCTGAGATGGTTTCGTTTGATCCTTCCCATCGCCTAAGTTTCGATGTAGGACACCAATAATTGTGTGTATGTTTGTTCACAGTCCAAGCTGCACTGTTTTGGCCAATGTTGGGAGAAGTAACATCTACAGAAACAGGAAGGATTACACTGATGTAAGAAATATCTAATTTCTTTTACCACCTGCTGCACTTGTGCTTCTATAACAAACATTGCTACTGATACTTTTGCTTCGTTTTACAGATCTATGAGCCAGAGGGAGTGAAGATTTTCAGATGCTCCTCTCCAATCTTCTTCGCCAATATTGAATTCTTCAGAGAGAAACTCATCACTGCTGTAAGTGTCTGGGGCTGTTCTGAACATATGAATTAAGTGACACATTAAGATGGATACAGTTTTCCAATTATAACTAGATATGAAGTCATTCCACAGTTCAAGAGTGAATTTTCATTATACTGCTTATATTCATTAATACTACTGTATTATAACATGTATACACACACCTCTGAGAAAGAGAAAAGCCTTGACTCATGCTGAACTTACACCATAGCAATGTTATACCATATTTATACTTATACCATAACAATACATATTTTCAGAAGAAAGGAGTGAAAATATAGATATTATAAAGGGAATTTTATTTTGTTTTATTTTATTTTATTTTATATTATTTTGTTTTATTTTATTTTATTTTATTTTATTTTATTTTATTTTATTTTATTTTATTTTATTTTATTTTATTTTATTTTATTTTATTTTATTTTATTTTCTCTTGCATTATTTTCACACAGTGAATTCTAGTTTACTCATCTTGCCCCAAGAATGTAACTACAACAATCAGAAGAATGCCAAATGGAATCATTCTATCAAAGAGGTCTTAACATCTTTCATAGCAAACTGCTGAATGCAGCCAGTCTTTCCATAACCAGCACAGAGGTCCAGGAGCCCTGAGCCCACACAGTGTGTATGACGCCTGCCATCCCCAGCCTGAACACAACTTGCACCACAACCTCCCCTTCCTGCTGCTCTTAGTGGAGAGCTAATAAGCAGGGACTCCCCTGAGCACTGGTAATATGCAGTTCATTCTTCACATGAGGGACTGAAACTGGCAGAGGAATGAGGGGATCTGACACATTTGGTTTGCCATGTGCTTGGCCTTTACCTGAGAAGAGCCTGAAGTTTTAATTTCTGAGTGCAGATGTTCACGCCACTCTTTCTCTACAAATACAGATACTTCTAACACCTTTCTCCTTTATGTACTAGATGAATGAGGCAGAAAACTTGCAGGAATTTAGTATTTTAGCCTAATTTTATTATTAGCCTAATTTACCTGCCAACATGATAAAATCTTGCTTTTTTCTTCAGGGAAAAGAGTAGATGAATGACCCACGCTGCTGTCAGGCAGCACAAAGCAGATACAAACCATGAGTTCTCTGATCTTGGTCACCTGGGTGACCACTTCATAATGCAGATGAGTAGGACATGCCAGCACTGTGCCAGCTGTGCCTGTGTAAGCACTGTCACTGCTATAATGCTGTCCATGGTGGTGCTAAATGCTGGTGTCCTAAAGCAGTACAGATAGCCCTGCCTCATTTGTAGCCATTCCTGTAGACATCCTTCCAACCTGGAAAGAGCCCTTGTTTGAATTTGTGAGAAGTGGCAGACAACATCAAGCTCAAACTATGGTCATCATGACTGCAATGAAAAACTGTATGAGATGCTTCATCCTTCCCCTGGTGTCACAGAGGTGTTTCTTTTTTTAATTAGTCAAAGTGCTGTTTTTTCAGGTTGGCTTCAACCCACTGAGAGTCCTGAGGAAACGCAATAAAGCTCTGAGGAAGATTAGGAAGATGCTGAAGAAAGGAGAGCTGCAAGTGACACCGGTATGTAAGGCAACTCCCCGGGGGTGAGGGGGAGTTGAGCAACCAAGGTCCCTGGTTTTACATGGCAGAGAAGGGCCTCACAGCCTCTCTTCTTAATTTGATACACTATTCGCCAAGTTGCCACTTCATGACATAAACACATTTAAAAACCAAGATTTTAAATGGATCTCACAGTTAGAGACCTACAGATTTACCATGGGCAGAGCTTGTATGTGTCCACTGGAGCTTTGTTTGACAACAAATAGCAGGATCAGATCTCACAGATCTGATCATATATCCCAATATAGAATCCCAATATCTTTCTGCATTAATGGTAGGATAAAGCTGGTTTTCTCCCTGCTCAAATCCTGCACGCCTTTTGTTGTCTTGTTCCAAAATTACTGATTTAAAATGTATCTGACAACTGGCTTCAGGAAACAATAAAAAGCCATCATTAAGTGATTATGATGATGATGATTAAATAATTTCCATACTTCTCCAGACAAGGGAGAGACAGATTTTTCCAGGTGGGTCCTGCTCTATCTCATGGGAAGATCAGTTATGTGTTGCCACTACTCTTGCCCTTGTGTAAGAAGTACCACTACCCTGGGTGGGTATTAAAGAAGAGAACTAATTATGAAATTCTTCTGTGTCAACACAGAAAGGCTTGATTTGCATGGCTAAGCCAACATATGAGTCAGATGAAGAGTTAGACAACGACAAAATAGAGGAGCTGGACCAGCCCACCATCATGACAGACTTGCCCATTCGAATCAACTGGGGCACTGACCTCCCCCCTGGCATCACTGTGCCCCAGGTCAACCTCCACAGCATCATTCTGGATTTCTCATCAGTGTCCTTCCTTGATTTTTCTGCCATGACAGTCCTTCGAAAGGTAATCACAATTCACAAGACAAACAGTGATCATATGACAGACAAACTTACAAATGAGGTTACCCTTGGGGGATACACATGAGCAAAGGGATGGTGCCCAGGGGGACCTGCACAGGAGTGGGCCCACCTGAACCTCATGAAGTTCCACAAGGCCAAGTGCAAGGTGCTGCACCTGGATCAGGGCAATCCCCAGTATTGATACAGACTGGGGAATAAATAGATTGAGAGCACTCCTGCAGAGGAGGAGATGGGAATATGGGTGAATGAAAAGTTGGACAGGACCTGGCAACATGCACTCACAGGCCAGAAAGCAAATAAAATCCTGGGCTGCATAAAAAGAAGTGTGACCAGCAGGTGATTCTTCCCCACTCTCATGAGAGATTCTACTTCACTCTCATGAGACCTCACACAAGGTACTGTGACCACCTGTGGGGTCCCCAACAAAGGAAAGACATGTATATCTTAGAACAGGTCTTGTGACAAGAGCCATGGAAAGGATCAGAGGGCAGGAGCATCTCTCCTATGAGGAAAGGCTGAGAGAACTGGAGTTGTTCAGCCTACAGAAGAGAAGACTATGAGGAGATCTCCCTGTGGCCTTTCCATACTTAAAGGGAGCCTATAAAAAAGCATGGAGAGGGACTTCTTACAGGGGTATGCAGTGACAGAACACGAGACAAAGTCTTTAAAATGAAAGAGGGCAGATCTAGAGTAGAAGAAAGCTTTTGCTGTGAAGGTGGTGAAATGCTGTAACAGGTTGCTCAGAGAAACTGTGGGTGCTCCATCCCTGAAACTGTTCAATGGCAAGTTGGATTATGCTCTGAGCAACCTGCTCAGTTGTCTCCTTGTCCAGGGCTTGGTTTGGAACAAGATGATCTTTTAGGTCCCTTCCAACTGAAACCATTCTATTCTGTGTTTGTAGTCTGCTTCTTAAAGGCATTGCCACATGGACTGGAAGGCCAGTGGCAAACTTTGAGTTTATGTGAATTTGAATGTACATTTTTTATAGAAAATGTTGGGAAATAGTTTAAATATCAATAATTAATAATCAATATAAATTGTCTTGGAATTAAAGTGTTGACTGTGGTACCCTTTCTTTACCTGGTAAGATTTTGGGAAGCTTTACAGAAATGTAGATATGAAATACTACTTTAAACACCCAGCTGGAGTTGGAACACTGGAGTTCCATTTATCCTCCTGCTTTTGCTTCCCCAGATGACCTTGAACAAAGCAAAAGGCACAACATTTTCAACAGTAGCAACTACAGTTAACTGTCTAGAGACACAGAGAGTGTGTAAATCTATTTCCATAGGGACTAAAGACCCACTGTGACAGTGGGAACTGTAGTTCTGCTCAAGTTCCCAGCAATAAAAATCTCCCCTAGAAGATTGTGAAGTGATTTTATTTTAGTTTCATCATGTATCATGTGCCACAACAAAGCCATACAGCTGATCACCTACTTCTCTGTGAGTTAAACATTTTCAGTACTGCCTTTTTTCAAAAGGCTTGGCCATCCCTGTTGGCAGCCATGTGAAGATATGTCCTGCCTCTATGTGTAACAGAGTCTAGAGCCACTTACCATCATAAATCTTAAATATCATAGATATATTTGTTGTGGCTAATCACTATAACAGTGTCAGCAAGCCTAGTAGAATCTAAATAGTGCCTCCTTCTGGTTTAACAGACTTTGAAAGAATTTGCCCGGCTTGACATTGACCTTTACATTGCTGGAGCACACGGTGAGTACTTGCCTTTGCATTGGCATCACTACAAATGCCTTGCCCCACTGCCTCCCCTGCTGACCACTGAGTATGGCTGTGGAGGATCACCTAGTTTTACCTTCCAGTCTTTGATAGAAAACAGGTCCCACAAGTGGAGCTGTTGTCCCTCTCATGCTGTCCCCAAAAGGCTGGGACCATGTGTGATGGCTCCTTTTACCACTGGCCACTGCTGCACTGTACAGCTCTGGGCTGCAAGACCAACTATCATGCACCCTGGGTTAGACATTAAATAAGAAAAGGGGCTCAAATTCCTTCCTGCCTGCAGGGAAGTTACTGATGGGCGTTTATGTTCCATTGTTTTAATATCTGTAAAGTCATCTGCTCTAATAAATAAAACAGTGCATTACACCAGCAACTCCCATATTCACCCAGTGGGCATGCTCAGGATACACAATTTCTTCGTTTTTAAGGCCTGCAGGTCACTTTGCTCTTTGATTTTGTTCCCTCACAGAAGGCCTCCTGGACAAACTGGAGAGAAGTGCATTTTTTGATGAAGAGATTAAGCCATCCATGTTTTTCCTCACTATTCATGATGCAGTTTTACACATTTTGCTGAAGAAGGACATAGCCAACTCCCCCAAATTAAAGCTTGCTGAGGTAACACTACAGTCTTAATCTTTCATTACCTGAGTGCCTTTCCAGTACTGCCAGGCACCCAGCAGTGCCCTGCACAGCTATAGCTGTGGATGCTACACTGTCTTATTTTCAAAAAGATAGTCATTAAAACTCAGCTGGGCTCAAATCAAATTGAAGAGCAAGAGTGGTTCCTGGTTCAGGTGTGTGGAAAACCATTTGTGAAAGAAATTAATAATTCCCACTGGTGGCTGGCCTGGCTGTGGACTTCAAGTCACCTCCATGGGAGGAAATGGTGCCCATCCACCAGCAGTCCTCTGTGGTCACCCATCTGGCAGAGACTGCTCAAGTTGCTGCAGTGGCTCTTGAAAGGCAGACTTTATCCTGCTTGCATATAGGCTTTCCAGCCCAGTCTGTCTTAAAAAGGAGCACTAAAGTAGTGTGGATAAATTCATACTGCCAGATTTGGGGATGGCCTTTCTGGGAGTGCTCTTAAATCAATAGCAAGAAAGGATCCTGCATACAATAAATGTGTTTAAATGTACCTGACCCAGAATGCTGCTCCTGTGGAAACTGTCTAATCCCACTTATCTGGACTGGTCCAGATCTTCTGCACTGACCCAGAGATGTAGTGGGGATCATAATAGCCTGACAAATGAGAGCCTCCTTTTTTCTATGTCAACTTCCCAGGCAGGTTCCAGAGATTTAAAAATCAAAACCTTCTTTAATGTGAAAAAGGAGAAACAGAAAAAGAAAAGCAATCTGTTTCCTAACCCACAACTTCTTGTGCTCATTGCAGGAGAAGGGCAGAAGCAGTGACTATGTCATCATCCCCAGGAACGGACTCCGCAGCCGGGAGTGCACAGTAAGGCTCTGGCTATGGCCTCCAGCTGTAGAAAATGCAGCCCAAGCTGCTCATGGAAACAGATAGGTCAGATAAGAAAAGCATCTTCCCACCTGAGCTCTTGTGTCAGCCCAGGGCAGAAAGCCACCAGACAGTTTATTGATGGGATTGACTTACAGCAAAACCTTAAGGGAGTCAGAAGCATGGGGCTTGGCTCACGAACCTTGCGGTGTGCATGCAGCAGAAGAAAGGCAAGCAAAGCCTGCCTCACCTGGTCTCCTAACCTGTCCACCACAGCTTCTCCATGGTAAAGTCACTGGTAGAATGCCCCTGTGGCAGAGAAGTCAGCATTAGTCCAGTTCATCTAAATGTCTCAGGCAGAAAGGGAGTCAGGAAACAGAGATGAGGAAGGGACACATGCAGCCTTTCACCACAGACTTAGAGAGATGGGCGGTATCCAGCACAGGGCAACCCTGTAAGGAGGAAATGTCAGAGCCCAGTCTTCCCACCCAAATGCTTCAGGGGATCAAAACGTCATTTACCAGATGACACCTACCCTGGCTATTCCTAACAGAATGTGAAATTTATTTTTTTATTCCCTACAGATTCCAACAGAAACAAAATTTTAGACTTAACTTCCTAAGTATAATATCCTCCAGCAACACAATGACACAGAAGATGAATGTGGATGCTGTGATGAGCATGAAGACAGGATACTTTTAAATACCCTGAGAAGGATTTTCTACATATGGTTATGTTCCATGTTTTGGAATGGGCTTGTTAGTCTTTATGTGTCTCTGTATATATAAATGTATTTATGTATATATATGGAGGCTAAAATCACACAGATTTTTCTTATTTCATACCACTGTTTGTAGACAATCTGTACAGTTACTTGAGAATCTATAAATATTTGAAATCTTGTATTGGATACCACCACAGAATAATACTTAGGACTGATATTTTATCTTAAGCATGTACATAACTTGTATAAAGTTTTCTTAATGGTTTGTAAGATATTTAGTACACTGAGTTAGACTTGCTCTTGCCTTACTACCACAAGCATAAGCACAGTGTACACAGTGACTGATGTATCTAATTATGAAGATTGCTCAGGAAAGACACAGGATTTTCAGATCAAAACATGATTTGGGTTTGGCTTGTGTAAAGTGCACAAGGGAGGAAACATTGATAGCGAACTATTGTATATACATATATAGTGAACTGCCATGGTGTCAGTGACTGTATGGCTGCATCTGTCCATGCACCACCAAGGTAGCTCATGGTCAGTGAGACCCAGACTGTGGACAGACACCAGCCCCAGAACCTGGCTGGAGCAGCTGTGGGTGTGGAGCTGCCAGGTGGGCAGGCTGAATTGCCTGGATCTATGGACAGAGAGCTTCAGCTTAAAGAGTCTCCTCTGATACTCTGCACAACTGCCATCAATTAACCCCTGATGGAAGTCTAAGGCTTGAAGATGAGCTACCTCACAACTTTCAGAGAAGAACAGAGAAGAATGCCCAAAGTGACAGAACTTTTAATTTTACATAACAAGTGCTAGAGGTAAAAAAGTCTTCAGCCTAGAGGAAAATGGAACCATTCCTGGAGTCTGAAAGAAACAGCACTCTGAAATCACAAGAGTTTAGTTTTCAAAGTCTGGTTTTGTCTTTCAGTCAAGCTGGGGTGTCCAGAAATGTGCATTTGGACTTGAAGAAGGGCTGAAAGAAAGGAGAAAGTGTTCTGCTAATGAACTAAGCTGGAAGTCAGTATTAAGATTGAGGAGATTTAGAATATAAAAATAATTAGGTGAGCTTGAAGACAGAAGTAGACAAGTTCAGCTTTCAGGAAACACTCATGCATTTGCAGATGAATAACAAGCTTTGGTTCTGTAGTGGGTGATCATGTAGCTGACCTGGTGTGGGAGACATGGTCCTTGGTGGTGTCACAGAGATGCTGCTTCCTGCAGCTGTACCAACCCACTGCTCTTCTGAGCATGCCACAGCAGATTCACTGTCAGGTATGTCTCGTGTGCCAGATAATCAGCACAGCAATACCTGAAGACAGGTACAATTAGCACACTACCAAACTGCTGTTCTAATGCGGTCTTCCAAAAAACATAGAGCATAACACAGCAGATCTTTCCAGAACAAGAAAGTTATTCAGTCACCACCATATACGAAGGTAATAAACTATTAGAGAGTGTCCAAAGAGGGCAACAAAGATGGTGAAGGACCTTGAGGAGAAGCCGTATGAGGAGTGGCTGAGGTCACTTGGCCTATTCAGGCTGGAGGACACTGAGGGGAGACCTCACTGTGGTTACAACTTCCTCATGAGGGGAAGGGGAGGGGCAGGCACTGATCTCCTCTGTGGTGACCAGTGACAGGATCTGAGGGAGTGGCCTGAAGTTGTGCTGGGGGAAGCTCAGGTTCAATATTAGGAAAAGGTTTTTCCCCCAGAGGGTGGCTGTGCTCTGGAACAGGCTCCCCAGGGCAGTGGTCACAGCACCAGCCTGACAAGAATTCAAGAAGTGTTTGGCCGATGCTCTCGGGCACATGGGGTGACTTGAAGGGATGGTGCTGCGCAGGACCAGGCGTTGGACTTGATGATCCTTCTGGGTCTCTTGCAATTCAGCACATTCTGTGATTCTGTGATACTGTGCAATGCACAGGGGAAATTTCACTCTAAATACTCTGAACTTCAGGACTGAGCTCTCCAGTTCAAGAAAGATGAAATCAAATGTTAATGAAGAAAATTATTATGAAGGTCTTTGTAAAATGGAGAGCTTGTATCTAAGAACTGGCAAAAAGATAAATAGATAATAGATACAGAGATTTAACCTAGGAGAGAGGAAAAGTTATGAAATATTAAAAAATAATATTGTCCTGTAAGGGGAAAAAAAACGAACTGGCCAAACTTAAACATGAACAAGATACTAGAAGATGGTTCCTCATTTTTACAATGGTGAGATCCTTTCCAGCTAGAACAAAAAATTAAACTGCTTTTATGATGAGATTTAAACATGTGCATGAAAATCATGAAACCACGTCATACCAGTGTAATCTGAACTGTCAGACTCAAGCTGATCTTTTCAGTCCTGTGCTCATATGCACCTATACAGACCCAGGCAAACTTCCCTATCAAAAGCAATATATGAAGTTCAGTATCTGGTGGAATACCACGTACTGCGCTTCAAAACCATATGGGATTTTTGGACAGGCTTCAGGTTAATAAAAAATGTTCTTTTCTAAATTGCACATCTCAGAATAATTCTTTTCTATACTAATAACTCTTCTGACACAGCACAGTGCCACAGAGGATAAATCCCCCTTCCAAAACTATTCACCATTTCTAAATAGACATGATACGTAGACAGCCTTGGCCAGAGAGCTTTGCTCCCATATCACACATCCTTACCAGCTACTTGCCATGTTCTTAAATCACCCTACTCCTTATTTTTCAATGTTGACACCAGCACCAATTGTACTTCTGATGCTTCACAAGATACTTCCTCCAGGTACTGGTTATTTCTGCAACTCTGTTATTCCAATACTAGCATTTTTCTGAGCAGTTTACCCACATGAAGATTCTAACATCTTGTTGTGGGATACTGTGGTGATGCAGATACTGTGGTGATGCTTTATTTTTGAGACAGGGACCTCCAGAAACCTGGCTATTTAGGTTTCTAAACATCCTGCACTGGGTACTGTTTCTACTCAGAGCACTACTATATACTGTGTCTTAGTATTTTACTCAGGAGTTAAGCAAAAAGGCAAATTCCAAATTCTCCTGCTTTTTGGAGAGCTCACAGGTATCATGCTAATTCCTCATGACATATCCTGAGCCTATCTCTTTTCAGCACAGTGCAGACACTTTGTACCCAAGTAACAATTTTACAGCCAGCAAGAGGGAAGGAAAATGGAGAAGCCACAGAGCCAGTGATACTCAAGCCTACTCCAAGGCTAATTACCACTTTGCAGTGCAGTGTGAAATACAGAAACAAAAAATTAAAATAGTTTATTCAAGGTCTTAGGGCCAATGAAGAGAGGAATATAACATGCAAACCTTTATTTGTTTCAATTTCAAACTGAGTTCCTATGAAGGAAGAAGTATCCTTAAGCACTTCCTTACTGAAATGCTACTAACAGCTCTCTATTCCACACCCTTGTGTTGAGGGTGGAGAATTTGTTTTCCCAGTCTATATGCATTGCTCTCTTCTGCTTCCTAAGAAGGGGTCTGAAAGTTTACCTGACCCAGAAATGACAAAGAACAAATTGAGGAACAATCACCAGCACTTATGTGATTTTATTTAGTGGAGGAAATAATTCACCATAAATTATCTTGGAGGTGTGCTCAAGCATTGGTCTTCACAAACAAAACTGAAGAAAGCTCTTGACAACGGACACATACTTCTATTCAGTTACTCATTTGGGTTTTTTTTCTAAGCAGTTATGCTGAAGTCCTTTTGTGAAACATTACAACATAAAAATGGAGACATTCCTGCCCGCCTGCACACATTATCTCTCTTCCCACTTCCAGTATTGTATTACAATGAGTCCTACTGGCACTCAAGAATCACTTGAGTTGTATTATCAAAATTACTCACTGAAGTTTCATAATGACTGAGCTAATTTACCAGCTTCCTGCTGCTATTCCACCCACACATTTCTGGATGTATGCTGCATTTTTTAATATTTGAACCTCTTGCACTCATGAACTGAGTACACTGAAAATAAATTTTAAAAAGTAAGAAAAAACCCACCAATTAATGCCTCACGCTCAAGAGAATAGAGGAATCCCATTTAGCGTAGGGAAAGTTTCTAAAGTTGGTGTCTCATGGCAAAGTCAAAACTAAAATGGGATTTAAACATTATTTTTACTCACATTGCCCAAACAAATGCAGGCAGTTAAGTTTGCAAACTGGTCAGTGTGAATCATTAGTGTGCATATAATATTTCTAAACATAGTGCAAAAGCTCACAATTGTGAAGGGACTATTACTGTATCAAGATGATTTGTGAATTGCTAAGAATTGTTTTTAACACCATAAAATAAATACAAAGGGAAATACAACTTGTATAATACTGATAATTTACTTTGGAAAAGTAATCAGGATGAAAGTGAATCCAAACCTTGCACATTTCTCTGCTGGACTCTGTCATACATACAAAGAGGAAAAGTTCAAATTTATGTCCCATACATTCAGTATTCCATTGCAGCTCAAATCCATTGTGCTCCTCCAGTTTCCCAGGCTTGACAGGACCTTCTGCTGTAAACCAGTACCTGCTTTTGTCAGCAGCCCAGCAATTCACACAGAGAGAAACAACTTGAAATCAGACACAAGTTTTACAGAGAAGAAAAGTTTAAGAAGAGAGAGGTGTGTTCAGATTTGATCCACAGGGAAATCATATCCACAAACGTGTTTTTGAGAACACATGACTTCCACTAAGGGGAAGACAGTTTTTCTCCTTTGCTATGTGTGCAAATTCAAAAGTAGTTAGGTAGTAGTGGAATTACTTCCACTTTAGTTTTTAACAAACAGTTTTTGACAGTAGGAAGTGAAAATTCATCCAGTAAGGTTTTACAATTCTCTTGGATCAGATTTTAAAAAAATTAATTCAGTTTTTTCTTTTTAAAAGGCATGAAAAATATAACTTATCACATGTAGGTAACCAGTCATCATGTTAACAG